GAAGAGCAGGTATGGCAGTCGCTGCTTCCAAATCGCCGACAAAGGATCAGGAGAGCAGAGAGCTCCTCTTCATCATGTGTGTGCTTTCCACGTCACGCAACAACTGAAAGCAAACAGGAAAGCAGCAGGTCAAAATTCAGTCAACCACAGTCCCATGAGACAACCGAACATCAAGCCTTGGGTGATCACCAAAACCTGACTGCCCTCACAATTCTCCAGCAGCCCTGTTTTCCACTTGGCAAACACCACTGCCAAGTTTTTGCTGTGGATTACTCCTATCACAGGGAAGTCCAAATATAAGATTACCCCAAATCCATCCCAACCAACTGCCCCAGAAAGCCTTCCCCCAGCACCAGCAGGCCCAGGCCTGCAAACTGCTGGCAATTTGTTTGGGCCCTGTGGATTCACGTCTCCAAGTCTCCTGGAGATGGATATTTTTTTGAGGGATGACTTAGTTCCCGAAAACACAAGCTGGAGTTTTGGCACTTCAACACGAGGTTCAAAGGCACCAGGTCCCTCCTCAGCCCATCTCTTTCCCCATCCAGCTTTCACACATCCACAAATGCTTCTTTCAGTGCCCTCCTTTCAGAGCCGTGGCCATTTTTGCAGCCACCTGAGGTAAGCCCTGATCCATTCGAGGAGGGACACTGGGCATCAACCGCCCCAGAAGCCCTCTCCATCCACAGGGCTACACTAAACCGCAAGATTAAAGCACATCACACGCCTCCAGTGCCACATAAATATTAGATCAGTCTTTCTGATCAGGACCAAGAGCCAGAGAAGACACCATGGCCCTGAGGGCATTTTTCACAAACATCCCTGTCACCCCCAGGTTCCGTGCTTCACCACGTGTTGCAATTCCTTTTGCAGCTGTAGCAAAGTCAGGGAAGCCAACAACGTGGGAGATTTGCAAGTTGCTGGTTTTTTATAGATACTTCACGTAGTTGGTTTGGAGAGGATTTTAAGCCTCCTGTTTTTTTGTCTGGATTTCAACAAAAACGTAACAAAGGTCTAAATGTTGTACTTCATCACTGCCAGTTTAAGAGGCATTAACCATTATTCTCTTATTAATGGTTAATAAATTCCCACTGCTGCCTGGGCTTGGAAGCTGCTTCCAGGACCAATCCTGGGCACGAGAGCTGCATCTTCCCGACTCCTCCCCAGGATCCCTTCTTCATCCCATGCGACACAGCACACTTGCACGCCTCCTTCCCAGAGGTACGTGTTACATACAGATTTGTGCAAGGTTTTTGGCAGTATGAAAATCTTTCATCAGCACGCTGGGAGCAGTAGAGAAAGCTTCCAGTGCCGTGAGCTCCCCGGCAGCATCTCCCCACGCTCTCATGGTCTCTGCTGCACAGGGAGCGCAGCCAGCCTGAGCCAACGCAATTTCAACTGAAACAGCAGTTGGCGCGTACAAAAGCGAGAAGGGGGTGGGAAATGATTAAAAAAAAAAAAAAAAAAAAAAAAAGGGAAGTTTTTTTTTCCCCCCCCTGGGGAACCACAAAACACCCCCAGCGGAAAACC